GTTTTTTTTCTCGAAGCTTTTTTGAAGCTTCTCTAACATGTGGTAAGGGTTGGCAATGTATTATCAACGTTAAAATTAAACATATTATAGGAAGATAGGCGAGAGTATTAAAATTCAGAGAGGTTTTAATCATGCTCGCGCGGTCAAGAGTTCTTCTATTCGCGGGGGCCGGGATTAAGAAAATCTTTTTTTTCCTTTTTTCCTTTCCTATCGCCTTCGCGAAACACACAAAAAAGCGAAACCGCAGGTTATCTCGGCTAATGACTCAGAGCCTGAGAAGCGCGGGCAGGAGGGAAATTCGGAAAAGTAAGCGTGCTCACAATTGACTTGGCTAGAGCCTGCAACAAAATACGGGTCTCATTTAACAAACCTTCTGCAAATCTTCGTATTTGAGAAACAACACATTTGGATCATCTTTGTGATTCCACCATCCCAAAACATGGTCATTCCAGAGGTTCCAGGTCACTGTTTGTAATAAATGATCAATTCAGAACCATTAACAGGAAGCACGAAAAGAGGTCACCAGAACATGTGATTGTCTCGTGGTTTTCAACGATCTGACGAGAGAGCACTCCCATGTGCCATGGTTGGGGATGCTTCTCGGCAAATTCAGATTAAACCCCCTACTGCGATCAATCTAGATGGGGTTCGAGCTTTATTTAAGCCCTAAAAGAAGCTAACAGATACTATTTTAAATCGGATAGGCAGCGTTTTCTCTTCGACTAAAACCAATCAACGTTTTGATCGCCTTATACATGCACTGGACGGCGGGTGTACAAAATGTCAAACACGAACGAGCGAAGGAGTGTAATTCGCCTTCAAACTTACAACTTGCACAATAGCTATAAGCTTTTCCACGCCCGCAAAATAGCTATGRTATTTTCCAAGTTAAAAATGAAAAACTGTCTGATAAAACCCTTAAGCTCTGTTACTGGTAAAGAAGATCCCCCCTCCCCCCTATCCCAACCCTGACCTTAGCCGAACGAGTTAGTTGAGTCAGATGAGGAAAAAGGAGTTGTACAACTTGACAAATTGAAATGCTTGATATGCCACACAATTCTCCTTTATATTGCAATTTTTATAGCGGACGCCACATCATGCAGATCCTCTGTCCTGATAGACTACGAGCAGTCCCTCTTTCGCTTAGTCCGTCGTGCGTGACGAGAAAGAAAATTGCGAGAAAAAAATAGCCGCGCGAAATCCTGGGGGTGAGGAGCGCGCGAAAGGAGGGACTACCGCCTAAGCCCAA